AATCCTCCTCTTTTTTTTGCTGAGGAAGACTGGCCCTGGGCTAACATCCATGCCCATCTTCCTCCACTTTATATGGGACGCCACCACAGCATGGCTTGCCAAGCGCATGCGTTGGTGCGCGCCCAGGATCCGAACCAGTGAACCCGGGGCCGCCGCGACGAAGCGCATGCACTTAACCGCTTGCGCCACCGGGCCGGCCCCTAGAATGTGTTTTTTAAAGGTCAGAATGAATGGCTAATTAAGTTGAGGCATTTGAAATTAACAAATAAAACTGCTACTCAGAATAGTGACTAAGGAGTAATTAATCATGGGAAAAGATGGCAGCAAAGTAGAGCCAGCAGTAAAATTATTTTTTAACTAGTTGCCATAGAGCCTTCAAATGACGTTAGTAAGAAACTGTTACATATTAATTCTTTTTCTTTCTCTTTAGGCTATATTCTTTAAAAAAAAAAAACAGTGTTCAACATTTTTCTAGAAAGGCACAAATCCAGGCAGATGTCCGTCTGCACAACCTCTCTTGCAGGCATTTAAAAATATATGGACTGGCCATGACTCTTTCCTCTACCTTCAACTCAACATGGGAAGGAATTAAGGGTTACCTTATCATAGGCATAAACTTAAACGCACTCCGATTAATTTCTAAATATAAATCACTGACAATTTTTGGCATTTTAACTATTATAATATAAACTACTTAATACACTCTTTAAAACCAATGTTGACCCCACCCCCACCCCCATCCTGAGAATGCCTGCTTTACAATCTGCTTAAGAAAACATTTGGTTTTGCTTCTGGCTGCTTTTTGTTTCCTTAGGTGCCACCTTTGCCAGACTCGAGTTTGATGCTCTCAATCCATGCTGGGCCTCTCAGGATTTCATTCCACATCAAGATATTTGTATATTAAATTTAAAGCCAAATTTATCCACATGAATATTACAATGAAATATCCAGATAGTTAATTTGACATGCATACCTTAAACTAGAAGCAAACTAAAGCAGCATTTATACAGAGATTTATACTTTTAAGCACTTGACATTTATTAATTAGCTAATCCACACCACACACCTATGAGGTAGTTTAGCACGACTTTAGTACAAATAAATTAAGTAAGAAGCAGAAAAAGAAAAAAGCTTGTTCTCCACAATAATATGTTGATTAGACCCTTCTCATTCTGGTCACAAAGGAGCAACAATCAATTCTTTGTACAAGTTGGTCAAAAGAACAACTACTATTTAGCTTGGATGGACTGTAGAGAGCGTAGTTATTTTATTACCTGACAGTTCAGAAAGGTTATTTTCTTATTGGTGTCCTAATGCGCTGTGCTCACAGTGACCTCTCAGAAATACCTCAAAGATCTGCTTTAGAAGAGGTGTGACCCCTGCCCAGGGTCTATTAGCCTGTGGGTCTATTAGCATCTTTCATCGATCTCATTGATCTGATTGGTCTAATATACTCACTGCAATAGAAAGGTGTCAAGACTTTTGCAGCTCCAATTTATGTTTCTATGCCATCTAATAGGCAAATGAAAAACAAAGCCTGTTGGTCTTTGTAGTTAAGCAATTGCAGATGAGTTTTATTACTACTTTTATCAGCAAAAGGGATCACTGTAGTCCTCCCTACTTAGCAGATTGCTTCATGATCAGATTTATTAGCGCCCTGGGCTGTGGGGACTACATATAACGCAAGCTCATTAATTTGGGTTTCACCACCATGGCATTTGCGGCCACTGGCACAGGCGCTGGCCTGAAGCTACCTCTGTACTTGAGAAGAAAAACTCTTTGCAAAGGAAGTGAATTATATGACCGGGACTGGAGGAGTGTTTTAACTCTATGAGAAGACATAGACTATTTCAACCACTTGGCAACTATCCTTTTAAATACAAAAATTTAGAGTAAAATATAAGGATGCCATCAGGCTTGTGTGTTATGTTCATTTTGAATCATTTTTCCCTCCTTGGAGCAAAACTTCAAATGGGCAGTAGTTGGTGAGTTTAGTTGACATTAGTACAAGTACTCTGGAACAGTGAAAGTACTTCAAATATTGATAATCTGTATAGTCTCACTCTTTCAAATAGACAGCGTTCTCCCCTAGTTCCTCTGAATTGAGATTTTACAGGAAATCCCTGGACCCCTTCTCATCTCTCCTGGAATCCCTGCCGCAATCAGGTGGCCCTATCAGAGCCGTTCCACACTGGCAGGGTCTGCATGGGTCTCTTCCTCTCTGCCGGAATTAATCTGGTTATTTGAAAATATTTACCTTATGTCTCACTACCATTCATTCATAATGAAATTGGAATGTAAGACAAGACCTAATTAAACAAATATAAACATAGCAAAAAAAAAAAAAAAAAGAGAGAGAGAGAGAAACAACAACAAATAGCTAGCTTCCCAAGCAGGGATGTTTCCATTTAAGACTTCCTAATATCAATAAGATTCATAGGTTCTTCTTGTTTAAAGCTGAATATGTCACCTCCAAGTACACTGGAATGATACTTTCATTTATCTGCATGGGCAAAAATAAAGAAAGAAATTTGGAAACAAACAAAGAAAACCTCTGGCAGGGAGTTCACTTTCACTTGACAGATTGCCAAGGGGTAATGGTATTTAGATGCGGAATTCTGAAATAATCTGATTATTGTATCTGGAAGCTTCTCTGTACAGGGTTTGGTGTAGCTTCTCTGTAAAGCAAAAGAGATATATGTTCATAGGCTCGTCTATATCAGGTTATTAAAAAAAAACAAGAAACACTTGAGAGTATGTGCTCACTAAACACAAACAGAAACAAGGACATTTTTCTTCTTTTTTTTACTTGGATAGTGCTTATTTTACAGCAGAATTGACAAATAAAGCCTTATTTTACACAATCGAAGAAAAGTCATCAATGGAGGTTTGTAGCTCAGTTGTGTGCTTTCAAAAATAGCAAAATAGATTGCTTCCCATCAAACCCTTCTTCCTTCCCACGGGACAGCACATGGCTGGTGTGGCTGCTTCTCTCTGTGCTTCTGCAGGCACAGAAATGGGCAACCCTGGTCCCTCCTGAGTGGGCCCTCCTCATGGGAATGGTGCCAAATTTCAAACACCTGAGTAACAACACTGTGCATTTCTAAGTCATTTCATTTATTGCTGAGTTGTAACCACCTTAGCTCTCTCTGGAAAAACAACAGACATCCAGAAAATCCTGACACCAGGAGATCAACTGCCTGTGGTGACAACGCACAAAAGGCAACCCCAGCCAGAGCACTGAGCAGCATCATGAATAGAAGGTAAATATCCAGCTTTGCAGCCTGTCTGCAGGACACCAGATCCAGCCACGACGGAGAATTAAACCCAGAGAAAGAGCTTTATGAGTTACACTCAGAGACGTGCCCCATCAGAGAGCAACAGTTTTCCAGTCTGCCATATTGGCCAGTGGTGTTCTTTCCGAAGTGACTGAATCTTGGCTCAGCAAGAGGACTCCAGTGAGAAACAGAGAAACAGCAATTCCTCACCATACCCAAGGCTGTCATTTCTTCAGAATTGACTCACTTCTTTCCATTCGTCAGTACCCCACATTAAAGCTCACAATTCAAGCCAACTTCATAAGAAATATTCATTTCTTTCTCTCTCATTCTGGGGTTTATAATTCTTCTTTTGGATGCCTTTGGGAAAACATTTCATCAAGGTCAACTGCTGCTAAGACATTTTTGCCTAAAAGGATCATCATGCAGGCAAACTAATTCTTTTCCTAAGCGATTATTTAGGCAGCTTGCAAAGAGGACTTGGCTGAACCTTGAGAAACTGTTCTTTGAATGATCAGAAAAAAAGGAGGAGGATTCTTCCTTTATTCACCCTCTTCATGCTCCTTGTTCAGATGGCAAACCTGGCTCACATTTTTGAAGGTGAAATGAAAAGGACCAGTGTCTGTGTCCATTATATATCTTCTGTGAATAGTGATTCGTTCTGGTTCTGTGCATGTTGCCACCAATCAGGTTCAATATGATGAAGAAATAATGTTTATTTCTTGATAGAAGTGGTTTACATCTCAAATATCAAGGATTTAATAGAATAAGTATATGTTGAAGAAATCTAGAATAAATTGGAAATTTAGATTTTTCCACTATCTTTAAGGTTGAATGATGCTCCCACTGTTTGCTATAGGATTACAATTCAGAACATGTGCTAAATACATTATCAGGAAAGAATTTAAAAATCCATCCAAATATCATAACTTACCACAAAATTAAAAAAAGAAAGAAAGCTCATTCACTCTTCAAAACTAAGATTAGTCATATGTTAATCTGTGAATCCTCATAAGAAATGTTCATTGTTCAAGAAAGAATCCTCCTTTGGTGGTTGATAAGTAGTTCTCCACGGCAGAGAAATTCTGACATTTTTTTCTAATTTCTTGATTGATGTTTTCACTACTTATTCTTCAGGCTGTAAGACAGAAGGGAACAGAGTCTTACCTTCTTCACAATTACACATTCCAACCTCTCTCTCACTCACTCAATCTCTCCCCACCTCCCACATCATTTTGCCACCAAATTAACATAAAGCTGAATTTATATGATGAATCTTTTAAGTTCTAAATAACGTGTATATAATAACTCAATTACCAATGTCATCTCCACGTATGTAGAAGAAAACATATATGTCTATACTGTCAATCCAGATGCTAAATTCACTCTGAAAGTACTTAAAAGGAAAATAACAAGTTTACTTTTATTTATGGCATACTGCATATTCCCATCTTTAAGTTTCAGCTATAACTACTTGTAGAACCTTCTTGCTGGGAGAGGAAAACAACATTATAGCACTTAGATTTCAAATTATTATAAAGCTCAATATCAATTCATTCAGAATTTTTTTCTGTTAGATAAAGAGGATAAATTGTTTCTGGTTTTACTCTCAAAAAGTATTGATTTAAATCAAATAGATAACTAAGTTTTATAGGGTTTTTAGTTTTGTTTTTTCTTTCTGGTAAGAAGATACTACTATTTATTGCATGCCTACTATGTGTCAAGAATTTCACATTTATTTTACATTATAATTTAATCCCACAACCACCTTTAAAGTGAATGTTATTTCCCCCATTTTAAAGATGAGAAGACTGAGGCTTCAATTGGCTAAATTAATGGCACAAGGTCATACAGCTGATGTTAAGGGGTGTGATTTGGACCTGGGAAAGATCAGAATCAGAAGGCAAAAGAGCTTGTTAACAATACGTGCAGGGGAGTTCTTTCACGCTATCGAAGCTGTCCTCTGGCTGCAATGAGGCTGCCAAAACGGTCTCTTCCTGTAGTTGACCGTTACCCTAAAGCTGTGTTTTGGGGGGAGCGTGGCAAAAGTGCTGGAGCAGGTAAGAACCCTTGTGCAGATTTTCCTCTCCCTCATCATTAGGATCTAAATATCTTAGTGGAAGTCTGGTAAATGAAAATTCACAAGCTACAAAGGAAAATTCTATCACTCACCCAGAAACACACAGATATCTTGAAATTTTATTTTCCAAAACAAGTGCTGTCAGAGAATATTCTCAGGATCTGAATAAGAATATGAATGTTGTCAATGTAATGCAGACCAAAAGAAAATGGAGACTACATGTAATTTTTTGTAAAAATAGCTTTGAAATTTTTCCTTGGAATGACCCTGGTACCACAGTCACTTTTTAATAGTTGTTATAAAAAGAAAAATCCTGTTTTAGAATCTCATATTCAGTTTCTACTACCACTCGGTCATGACCTAAGGAAATTCTATAGTCGTTGTCATCTTCATGAATTAATATGACATAAAGGTTAGAAGTTCTCACTGAGCAAACAAGTATAATCTCATTTTTATAAACTGCAAAGATGAACACTTTTCAAATCAAAATGAGTCTGAAGCGCAGCACCTTCATGTGATAGGAAGAAGACCAATCACATCTGCCGCTGAGCAGTCTTCTGTCTTAACTACATCGTTAGAGGAAACTAGAAGAGAGTTGTTTTTTTTTAAACTTATAGTAAAAAATGGTATATTAAGAATTTAATCCCACAAAGAGGAAAAAATATCACATTCTTCCTTTTTATAGTCAGAATAGTTATTCAAATCCTGTCTGAACACATAGAAGTAATGACAAATTAAAATGCCTTTCAATTCCATATAGCTTTTATAATTATTCATCCATTACTGTTATTATTGCTGGAAAAGCTCCATCATATTTTAGTCAGCATCCCATTTGATACAAAAGAACATGGAAAATTTTACTGCTATTAATAAATATACAGCCATCCAATCCAAGAAAAAAATTCTTTTTCATCTGAGAGATAAGCTGCATAATTCATGTATTTTCAGAAATTTCTTTAAATAGAAAATTGAAGAAAGGCATAAGGGAAAAAAGAAGTCATTATATAGTTTCTATTTGCGGTGAGGGGCCGTCTTTGTTCTCAGAGGGTCTTACATTTGATTTGACTTGAAGAGACAATTTCAATTTTGTTATACACATACTAATCATACTCATGGAGTTCATTTTATTTTCTACATATATCATCATAAAAATGATGACAACATAGCTTCCGTTTTCCTTCCTAAAAAAAAAACACTGTCACTGAAGGTTACTAGGGATTTTACTTGGGGTCTTGGAATGCAGTTAGAAAAACTTAGCACAATTTGGAATGGGTACCTCTGCCTCCAAAAAAAGAAGTTTCCATGTCAAGAAACTGAGGAGCTATGTCTAATTCCCGTGAGCTCCAGCCCCTGTCAGAGCTCCAGCCATAGAGAAGGACGTGATGGCCTTGCAGCACAGGTCCTGCATGCCAAGACCCCAAGCCAGATGAGAATCACATCTGCAGGACCAGTTAAGTAAAAAAGCTTCTCTTTCCACTAATCACCCCTTTCATCGTTCTGACTTGAAAGATCCAGGAGAGGAGAGATGCTCTGAACTGGGTATGAGATAGAAGTCTTATGTAGAATTAGTAGTAGCCTTATGGTGAGGACTTCTTGATACCTGAAAAGGAGGCTTAAATACTGAAATTAAACTTTTCTCATCATTGAAAACGGCCAGAAATGTATGCAGTGTTCCTGAGATATTATCAAGACGAGGGAGAGGGGTGGAGAATGCATTCTGACCCAGTGTGTTTGAAGGTGGTGACAAGAGAAAAATTTAATGATTGATTTGTCCCATGTTGAATTTAAACAGTTCAATAAACCAATTAAAACAAGCAGCAGAACATCCTCAATTGTTATCAAGTCCAGTTTCTGATAGCCAGGGAGAAAATTTACAGTGACATGTAAAATGAAATAGTGAAGCATGGCTTATATGAAATATATAGCCGGACTTTGTTAGATGAGAAGGAATTATGTCCCAGACATTTTCCACAAACATGTTGCTTAACAGTCATGATTTGAACTTGTTCTAAACTTATTGCCTGAGATATGCCATGAAAGACATCCAAGGACTTGTCACCTTTGCTCAATTTATTAAGATAGTACAGTGATATACCAAATTAAATTATGTTTCCAAAATTGAACATCTCCCAATTTCTATTTTTTCTTTTCCTGCATTCCCTAACTTGGCAAATAAGGTCAAGACAGAAATGCAGTGTTCTCCCAGCCTTGTTCCTTTTCTCCCTCACCCCATGACCCAATCAACCACAAATCTTCTTGGCTTCCTATTTCACTCCTAACATGTCATCTCCTCTGCATCCCCTGCCCATGCCCTATTCCAGGCCCTTGACATTGTGCTGGTCTTCTATCTGGCATCTTTGCAACCAGCTCTGCTGCTTCATCACCCTGGTGTGTGTTGTAGTGCTTCCCTAGGTTCCACCATCTACTGGAGAAAAGATAACACATAAAAGTCACGTGTGATGTGACTGCTGCCTTCTCTGCCAGCACCGTCTTTTTATGAGTCATCCCCTCAATCACTCTAAGCTCTGATCACGGAGAATTGCTGGAGGTTTCTGAACTTGTCATGTTCTTACGTGCTTCTATGGTTTCCACAGGCTCTTCTTTCTGCCAGGAAACTCCTCTCCCAGCCCTTTATTTGCCCAGCTTCTCTCTCTCCTCTTCGTGGAAGCATGCTTACTTAAGATATCCTTTCCTGAACCTATCCTGACTACATAAAATGTATTTGGAGTATTTTGAGCAGCCACTTGGGAGTGAAGAACAAAACCTCAAGAAAATGCCTAAGCTACAGGAAGTGATCAGTGAGCTGCTGCACTTAAAACAAGAAGTACAATGTGTTTTGCTTCTGAGAAGGGTGAATGGCAAGGGAATGAGGGGGTTGTGGAAGAAAGGGGAGAAGAGAGGAGAATGTGGGAGAAGGAGATAAGGCATAGAGGGAGTGGAACCAGTAAGATGGCTTTGTTCTGTGCCTGGTGCTATCTCTGTATGACTCCCAAATCTTCTATAGTTGTCTAAACAAACAAAATACTCACAAAGTGTTCATTGTTAGCGAAGTCTATGTAGTCTGATTATCTGGGGGAGGAGAAGCCCTCAAAGTGATGGGAGAGAAAGATGCAGAAAGACCGCAAGACATTGGGAGTGAAAAGTGCAGGCAGGGCTTTGGATCCTAACAAGTGGTTGTAAACTTTGTTGGGTAGTCCTGCGCCCACCCACGACAACTGGAAGTGGGACGGGCTTCAGCTGACATCTCTGAAGTCTGGGCAACACAAGATGAATTTCTCCAAATCCATCTTGGAAAAACAAACGCCATATATTTATAACCCATTGAATAAAGAAATAATTTAAGAAAATTCAGGCTAATTTGGAGAAAAGTTAGATATTGTGAACATTCAAGAAATTGTAGATATTCAAAAGTATAGAATATTTGAAATGAAGGCAGCTCTGTCACTTCCTCATACACATAGAATAGCAAAATTGACAAGAACGATTTGTAGTTAACTTACTAAAACACCTAAGAAAATAAGCCTCCTCTATTCATATAGAATTTGCATGGTTTATATGCAAATGAATGCTTCCTGTAGGGAAGTGCAATGTCCTCATTTTACAGATGAGAAACTCGATGGAGCCTCTGGCAGACCCGTATACCCGTATACCCTCAGCATTCCCAACGCCTGCGCCCTCACACCCTCAGCCCCCTTATTTGGGGGACTCCATTCCTCCTATTTTGGGGTTCTAGCCACAGCTGAGGCAGATGCAAACAGAGCAAGGAACCTGCAAAGTGCTAAGCTTGGGGACATCATCAGCACCCATCGACCTCCTAGACTGAAGTGAACGAGTCCAGTACCCCTTTCCATTCGCTCATGGAACTAGAGGCCACAGAAGGGTGAATGGCAAGGGAACGAGGGGGAAGTGAGAGAGTCCAGCACCCCTTTTCCGTTCGCTCATGGAAGTGGAGGCCTGGGGACTCCCTGCTTGTTTCTGGGCCTCAGCTCCTACTTTACCTCCCGAGGGAAATCTGTCCTGACTCCCTCTTCTCCCTACCCCATCCTAGTTAGATCCCC